AGGAGACATACTGTTACAATAAGTGTCATGCATAAATGTATTCAGATGTTAAAAAATTAGTAAGAATACAGTATAGAACATGAAATTATTGGAAAGAGAACAATAGGAAGCAATCTGACCCCATTAGGAAAGCAGCATTATAAAAGAAAAACAAGATAAATTATGTTGGTCAGTATTCTAAGGGTGAATGTGCCCCCCTCCCCAAGATTAGAAGATGACTAAATCCAAAGTAACACCAATGTGACTCGATATGAAATGTGTAGGATTCTCCTCAGAAGTAATTCACACCAAATAATGACCGAAGAGGGTTTTCCTATGAGAAGTGAACAGAAAGGAGGAAGTAAAAGTGTAAATGATGCCTGTACAGAGGTCAGGACTGGAAATGGGGATTAGGCAATCAGAGTCAAGGCTCTGATTTAAGGGCCTCTTGAGAATTTGAAATTGAATGGAATGGGGACAAGACTGAGCTGCTGCCTTTAGGAGAGGAGTGGACTCAGAGGAACAGAGAAGAGGTGTGGTCACTGTGAGCAGAGGCTGCCAAGTAGTTGGCAGGATAAGAATGCCATGAAAATAAAGGTCCATGATGGACCCTCACATGTTTTTATTGGAATTACAGCACAACCAAAACATTTTAATATACAAGAAGTGATTTTAAAAGCTAAATTTGTAGATGAGACCATGTGTCAAGAGAATATTATAGTCCATTGGAGCAAGAGAAACAAGATGACCGAAAGGAAAGCCATAAGAATTATGCAAAAGTTAGATTTCTGTATATTACAAAGAAGACTTTAAGGAAAATGTTTAATAGCAAAAAGAAAGAAAAAGAACAAGGAGGAGGGGTGGGAAAGGAGGAGAAGGGAATTAAATTCCTGAGAGGATACTTAGAGAATTAGTATCTTTTTCATCCCAAAGTCAAGTGAGGTTCAAAAATACAATGAAATCAGGTAGATATTTTCTAAAACTTTTCTTGATAAAATGGTTTATACAAGCCTGGAATAACAAGTTATTGATGGAAAGGCTTCTAGGGTATCTTTAGAAACTAAAATGGAAATATAACTTTTCAAATATTTTTATGAACATTTATGTGTAAAACAACATTTTGGCAGTACAAATTTCATAAAAGATAATTATGAAAGTACAAAATTTGAGCTATGTTAAGAGAAGTAAGTATTTTTGAAGTCTACTTTTTGCCGTCAGTTTTATACAGTGCATTAAAACGTTATTTATGAACTCATGAGAAGTCTTATTTTAATGAAAGAAGATTGAATTTCTAGATTTTTTAAAAAAATAATTTTAAATTGTTTTTCAAAGTCTGAAGGTGATAAGGAACAATTAAAAAAACTTACTGAGTTAACAGAATCTCTGGAATTTACTTTGGATCAAGAAAAGAAGAAAAATGGTGAATTACAAAAAGAGCTAATTGGGTATGATTTTTATATGTCAAATCTTTTTTTTTTTTTTTTTTTGGTTTTGAGGATCGAACTAAAGACCTTCCGTTTTCCAGGCAACAGCACCACTGAGCTAAATCCCTGGCCCTTTGTATGTCAAATCTTATCAACCATTTATTAAATGATTTCACTAACTTTACTAAAGCTAAAACCAGCCTATGTCATTATTTAATAACATTAATATTAGTCGATTTATCTTATATTTTCTCTGTACCCCTTTTTTTATTTATAAAATCTTTCACAGTATTACACTTCTTTTGCATGGATATTCCCATGTGTACATGAGGTATACATGTTCTTAACCTTCCTTTGCTCTGTGTGTGTGTGTGTGTGTTCCCACATATATGCTCCATAAATAATGTACAGTCATCTCTTGATGTATTCACAGTATTGGGTCCAGGATCCCCTCAGATACCAAAATCCACGGATGCTCAAGTCTCTATTATATCATGGTGTAGTGTTTGCATAGAACCTACTCAACCCTCCCATATACTTCATATCATCTCTAGATTATTTACAATACCTAATATAATATGTGTTATATAAATCATTGTTATATCATTCAGGGAATAATGACAAAGAAAGAAAACATCAGCATGTGTTCATTGCAGATGCAGTTTTCTTTTCTGAGTATTTTCAGTCCATTTCTGGCTAAGCTACAGCTAGAAAGCAGTGACTGTATATATTCCTCATACACACAAAATGCGTGTATGACTTGCAAATGTGGATGTTTCTACCACCAGATGAAGAAAATGGAATGTTTTCCAGTGTCTTGAAGTCCCCCACAGGGCTGCTTTTCTATTTATTTGTCCACAACTTGAGTTTGTTACGATTCTCATCAATATTTTTCTCTCCTTTTGTCAACGTTGTGGTAGTGAAGGCTGACATTTCTTAAAACCTTTTAATCTACTTATTCTGATTTCCTTTCTCCTAAACTGCCTCTTTTCTTTTCCTCTCAAACTCAGTTTTCAAAGATCATACTTCCTCTGTCTGTTTTCTACTTTGAATGATCTCTTCGATGTTTTGTTTCCTTTTCTTTCACTTTTTGTCTGGGATTGAACTTAAGTCCTTGCACTTGTCGAACACATGCTCTACCACTGAGTTACACCTCTAGTCCACCTTCAGATTTTTGTGCACACTTTCTTTTCTTATTCACCGTGGTTAAAAGGTGCCAAAGTATATTTTTTTATCTTTTTAAGCATTCATATATAAATATATAAGTATATTTTTTCTCACCTTGGTTACTGGGCTTTAGCTAACAGTAAGTTCATTTTTATGTTAACATATCAAAGTGGATATTAATTATAAGAATCCTGTATATGGTTAGAGTGTTAGCTCTTTACCTGTCACACATATATCATAAACTTTATGCATATTGTTCATCTACAATTATAATTGCCTCAGAATGCTTTCAAAAATGTTAGGTGGAAACAATTGAAAGAGGATTATAATTTCTAGATTTGCTTCTTTTATGATTGAAAATAATATCTGTTTAAATAATACTTCATTTAAACTTCACTTTGTACATTCTTGCAGATTTAAGAAACTTTTAAAAATGACAAAAACAAAGTTAAATGAGCAGGAAAATGGAGACTTTCATGCAGATTTAAAATCCAATGAGTTGGATATCCCAATTAACATGCTAATACATAAGGTAATTTTTAATTAGTTTGGGGAACAAAAACTACTTAGTTTGGGGAATATAAATCTCTCAGTATGTTGAGCAGTGAAATGAAGGGTTTTTTGTGTGTTTTATAGTTTTGTTTTACTTTATAGACTTGCTATCACTGAAAAATGTAACAATTTTCTATTTAAAAAGCATACTGCTGTGTTAAGCCTTAGCTAATGATACAAAGCCAACCTAACACCATTACATGACCCAAAGTCATGTGTAATGTACCTTTAAATTTAGACATTTAAAGTATAGTTTGGTGGCTTTTAGTATATTCACCAAGTTAGCAATCATCAACACAGTTTTAGAACATTCTTCCTCCCTAAAGAGAAAATTCATAACCTTTAGTCATCATCTTCCCTGCTCAGCCTTTGAGAACCACTGATATACTTTGTAGAATTTCTTCTTCTGGACATTTTGTATCAAAGCCCTCAGGGGATATGTGCTCTAGCTTTTTGGACTGTCTTCATTTAGCATGTTTTCAAGATTTATTCATGTTGTAGCAGCTATCAGCACTTAATTTCCTCTTCTAAGTAATATCCTCTTATTTTTAATTCATCACTTGATGGGCTTTTGGAATAGTTTCCATTTCGACAATTATTAATGCTGCTATGAATATACTTGTACAAGGTTTTGTGTTTGCCTGTTTTCATTTCTCTTGGCTTTTGGAGTGGAATTGCTGAGTTGTGTGATAACTCTGTACTTAACCTTTGGAGAAACTAGCAGTGCTAGTCTGTTTTCTAGAGTTGTGGTGCCATTTCACATTCCACTAGCTTTACATGAGAGGTGCAGTTTCTTCATCCTTGCTACGCAGAGTCCTCCTTTTTGATGGAAAAAAGATTCCATTCTAGTGAAGTGATGTCTCATTGTGATTTTCACTTGCATTTTCCTGGTGACTAAAGGGATGGTGTTGAGCACATGTGTTTTTTGCAAGCTGACTGGCCATTCATACATCTTCATTAGACAAATGTTTATTTAAACTCCTCTTTTTAAATTGGGTTGTCTTTTTTGCTTTTAAATTATGAGTCCTTTATGCATCCTAGGCATAAATTCTTTATCAGATACATGATTTTCACATATTTTTTGTCCCTCAGTAGCTTACCTGTTCACTTTCTTGGTGTGGTGTCTTTTCAAACATATTTAATTTTTACAAAGTCTAGTTAATCAATTTTTTTCTTCTGATGTCATATCTGAAAAACTGTTCTCAAATCCAGTCAAGCACACTGGTTTTCTCAGCCTGCTTCCTAAATGTAGAACTTCCAACCTACAAAGTCCTCTTTTATGTTTACTGTTTTGTCTCTTGGTTCCTGCTGGTGAGTTCAAGATTGTTACTACATTTTCTTAACAGTTTTACAGTTTCTGTGAGTTTTATTGGATTCATGCCCTGTGAGAAGCTACTTTAACAAATCTTTTTGATAAGCTCTCCACCTTGGGCTCTCTGTCAAGCTGTACTAAGGTGATTCCATTAAGATTTGGGGCCCTTAAATCCTTCAAGGCATTTGAGGCCCAGCCTTAAATCTTTCTGAAGTCTTACCAAGGGTTTTGTAGTTGTAGTCTTGGCTTCATCTTTAGACCATGTGTTCCCAGCAGCACATGGATTTGATCTGATCCCAAAGGCCATTTATTTTAGCATTATTTGGCAGTGTTATATATAAATAATGCTTTGCAAAAATTTTAGCATTCTTTGACATGTTGAGAGCCTACAAATGAGAAGCAGATATTTGAACACAGTAAATCCTGGTTTTCAGCAAGTCTCTCTGTAGCTCATCTTTCAGCAGTTTTTCTTTCAGCAGCTATGTAGCGAGAGTCCTCTCTCTTTATGTATCAGTATCATTTCCCTCACTCGCCTCCAAGCCTTTCTTCTTGGCCTCTTTGAGGGACACCCATCTTTCACTAACAGTCCTTTTGGAGCACTTTGAGTTTGCTTTCTTTTCTAGGTCTTTTCTGCTTCCATTTATATCCAATCCAGAGGCATTCTGGAATATAATTCCAGTTAACATAAAACATTTGCAATTCAGGGAAAAGCTTATAAATAAAATCCATACTACCATAGTCATTAATTAAAGTCTTATTTTCAAAGTCTTATGTGGTAGCATTGGTTGTACTACTAAAAGATGACTCAGAGTCATTTTGAGAAGGGCAGAAATGAAACAAATCTAGAAAAATAGAGTCTAAGATCAAGTGCACCTGTTTTGTGACAAAGATAATGAATGTAAAGAATATATTTTTGTAGGCTGGGGATTTAGCTCAGTTGTGCTATCTGCCTTGCAAATGCAAGGTCCTGAGTTCAATCCCTTGTGACTCCTGCTGGTTTTAACTGTGTTGATTTTTTGAGTAATTCAAGGGAATATTTTCTAAGAATCTAGTATGGATTATGTTTTTTTTTTATTAATTTTATTGAGTTTATTGGTACATTTTAGGGATACAGTACAGTTACATACAGTTGTGCTCTGCCTTGCAAATGCAAGGTCCTGAGTTCAATCCCTTGTGACTCCTGCTGGTTTTAACTGTGTTGATTTTTTGAGTAATTCAAGGGAATATTTTCTAAGAATCTAGTATGGATTATGTTTTTTTTTTATTTTTAT